TTCTCTTCCCCTAAACAGTTATAGTTAACAAACAACTTATTTATGTTTAAAATTTTATTCAATAAATCACATTTTGTTTGAGTTCCAGAATTCAGTTCAAATCTTTCCTCGGGACCACAGAGACCCTTGAAAAGCCCAGACTTGAGGTCACTTTACCAACAGCTAATGAGAAAAGATTTGGAATTTGTTTAAATTCCTGGTGGCAGCCGAATCTACCCTGTTTATGAGCACAAAGTATAAATTTAAAGAGAAAACCAGTCCTCCCCAAATAAGAGGACGCCACAAAGCGCAAGGTGTAATAGTTATTTGAACTGTCAGGAGGCAGCTGTGGCTTCGTGGCAGAGCCTCTGCTTGGTGTGCAGGAGGCCCTGAGTTCAATTCCCGGCATCTCCAGTCGTAAGGATCGGGAAGGAGGTGATCTGGAAGACCTCTGCCTGGGACCCTGGGGAGCCGAGACTGACTGCGACGGACCGAGAGGTCTGATTCAGCAGAAGGCGGCTTTATGTGCGTGCTGGAAAGGGTGGCGGCTCGGCAGAAGGGCCTGTGCCTGACATGCAGAAGGTCCCGGGTTCGATCCCTGGCATCTCCAGTTAAAAAAGGACCAGGTTGTAGGTGAGGGGAAAGGCCTCAGCCTCCGCCACTGAAGGGAACTGAAGCGCAAGGTGTGCTCGTTTCTTTGACTGTCAGGCGGTGGCATTATCGTGTCCCCGAAATTTGTTCTAAGGAAGCATCTCCAGTTAAAGAATCGGGCCGAAGGTGATAGGAAAGGCCCCTGCCTGCGGCCCTGGAGACTCGCTGGCCATCTCGGTAGACCGTGCTGGCTCTGCCGGGCCGAGGGTCTGGTTCAGGATTAAGGCAGGCCCTGGTTCTCGCGGGAAGACTCTGGAATGGCAGCCCTGGCTCTGCCCTGCATGTTTGTGGAGGAGGGCCTTTCCTGGGCAGCGAGCGGAGTGTTCTTTTTATCACTGGGCGTCATCCAGGCAACCAGTGGCGTTTACGTGCAAAGTGACGTACTTGGTCCTAACGAAACTGAACGGCGTTTTCTCTGGGCAGAGTTTTGGGGCCGTGAGAAGCACTGCACACGCACACACCTCTGTGCGCCCCCCGCGGCCCCCCTCCCCCCCCCCCCCCCCCCCCGCAGGTGCAGCAGCACTGGCTGAACTACACCGTGAAGATAGACCGGATGATGGAGGAGGCCCTGCGACTGAACGTCAAGTGGTCGCTGATGGAGCTCTCCAAGGCCATCAACGGGGACGGCAAGACCAGCCCCAGCCCCCTCTTCCGAGTGAAGGTCATCCTGCAGGACTACTACCCGGTTCAGAGTGCTCAGGTGAGCCTTCCTCTGGCTTCCAGATCCCGGGAGAAATTTGCCCCGGGCTCCTCAGGGAGCTCAGGTGGCTCAGAGGTTAAGACGCTGAGCTGCAGACCGGAAGGTCTGTAGTTCGGTAGTTCGAGACCCGAGTGCCTCAGGACGGAGTGAGCTCCCGTCTCTGGCCCCAGCTCCTGCCAATCTAGCAGTTTGAAAGGAAGAAATTGCAAGTAGATAAATAGGTACCGCTTCAGTGGGAAGGTAACAGCGTTCCATGCGCCTCGGCGTTTAGTCATGCCGGCCACATGACTACGGAAACGTCTTCGGACAGCGCGGGCACTTCGGCTTGGAAACGGAGATGAGCACCGCAACCATAGAGGTGGATTCGACTGGCTTTTGAGCAAGGGAAACCTTTACCTTTACCTCAGGGAGGCACTGAGGGAAAAGGACATTTCCAAGTTAGCTGGTAGAAACCCGCGTCTGGGACTCTGAAAGTCACCATTTCCGTCCTGTGCAGTAGTGAATCTGGGTGATATATTGCTAATGCCTGTTTGGCGCTGCACATGATGTCGGGAGGGTGAAGTCAGCACTTCTAAATGAGAGACTGTGTCCGATTGCGCTGCGTGTCATGGGGAATTTGGTTTTTGTGCTAATCGTTCCGTAAGCCCAGGTGGTCTGGTGGCACTGAACGCTTTCTTCTTGCTTCATATAAAGAGAGTTCCAGAGCACAGCCACGTTGGTCAGCACTAGAAGACCTCAATTCGAGTCCAGTAGCACGTTCGAGACCAACAAGATTTTCGGGGTATGCATTTTCGAGAGTCAAAGCTCCACTTTGGAAATGGAGTTTTAACTCTTGAAATCTCGTACCATGTGAGCCAGTTTGGTGTCATGGTTAAGTGTGTGGACTCTAATCTGGGAGAACCGGGTTTGATTCCCCACGCCTCCCCTTGCAGCTGCTGGATGACCTTGGGTCAGCCACAGTTCTCTCAAGCTCTCTCAGCCCCACCTACCTCACAAGGGTGTCTGTTGTGGGGAGGGGAAGGGAAAGGACTTTATAAGCCGCTCTGAGACTCCCTTGGGTAGTGAAGGGCGTGGCATAAGTCCAATCTCCTCCTCCTCCTCCTCTTCTTCTTCTTCTAAATTTTGTTGGGCTGGAAGGTACTACTGGCCTTGAATTGAGCTGTTCCTGCTTCTTGCCTCCAACGGCCTGGCCTCGGGCTTCTGCTCCTTCCCGCTGACCTCTTCTCCAACAGGTGGAGTTTTCCCCGACCCTCGTCCAGCTGGCCAGCATGGTGAATGACATCAGCGCCCACCTGATCTCCAGCATCTCCATCTTCCGCCGCCTCCCAGAGATCCTCATCAGGCGCAAGCCCACCCGCGACCCCATCTCTCTCCTTGTGGGTAAGCAGCCCTCCTCGGGCTCCCCCTCGCAGCTCTTACAGGGGCCGGGCCCACGTGCTCCGTGGCCTGCGTGCCTCCTCCCATACAAGAGGAGAGCAGGAGCCCTGCGGGTCATGTGTCTCCTCTCCAGAACAGTGGCCCAGGTGGGTGCTCCAGAGGTGGAGCAGGACAGTCCCAAGGGCAGGGAAAGAACTGATAGCTGCGGGGGTGCTCCTTACGTGACATTTGCTGTGGTGTGGGAGGGTGCCAGGCAGTGTTTCTTCTAAGCTGAGTTAGTGTGAGCTGTTGTTGCAAAGTCGAGTCTGACTATTCACGACCCCGTGGACCACCTCACGCCAGGCCCTCCTGTCTTCTGCCGTCCTCCGGAGTTTGCTTAATTTCATGTCCGTTGCCTCGATAACACTGTCTGGCCATCTCTGCCGTCCCCTTCTTCTTTGACTTCCGTCTTTCCCAGCATCAGGGTCTTTCCTTTGACGCCGGATGCCCCTGGGAATTGCTACGGTGAACCCTTTCGGAGAGGGAGAGGCTTATAGTGTCCTGTGGGAGGGCTTCTAGTGTCCCGGCCCCACTGCTGGACCTCCTGAGGTCACCTGGTATTTTTGGACTGGATGGGCCATTGGCCAGATCCAACAGTGGCTTCTCTTACGTTCTTATGTCTGGGGCAAGGGATGCTCCGTCTTCTTGGTGCTTGCGGGGGGCAACAGTGGGAGGGCTTCTGGTGTCCTGACCCCACTGCTGGACCTCCTGAGGGCACCTGGTACATTTTTGGCCGCTGTGTG